ATAGCTAACCTGGCTAGTTGTAAACAAACAGCTGGCCGAGCAAGGTTTTCCGACTTGTTAACTGGAACGCCGTCAACACTCGGGTGTGACGTCATTCCCAGCTCCGACCTCCGAGGTAAATGGAACGCAGCATTCTGAGCCATCCACTAACTTGTTACAGTAAAGTTACTTACTGCGGTCTAACTGTTATAAAGTGTGACACAATCGTATTCAGTCCAGCTCACTAGTCGTTTCATTATCATCCAGTACATGTAGCTGTGCTGACATTGATTTACTTCACAGAAAGTAAAGATGGTTACTGAAAAGCAGCAGGCGAGCTAATGATGTAGCACGTTGGCTAAATGCAGTAAATGTAACGTTATCATGTAACGAGCATCGATTAGTTCAACCTGCAGCAGATAAAACTATTACTGTAACGTTGCAGTGGGAGTTTACCTGAGTTTCGGATTATGCTCGCTCATGAGTTAAAGCGAGCACGCGTACGAGCACACACCTGGTTGCAATCTTAGAACCGCACCGCTAGTGGCCGCTGAAAACTACATAATGCCCTAACTAACATAAGTATATTATGCTGGAGAAAATTGCAAAGGAAAATAAAAAGTATACAACTCTACAGATTTGTTTTGGAAGAGTTTTGTTTTGACACAGAAGGGGTAGCAATAGATGGTGGAAGCTGAGAGTTTTTAGCATTAATAGCACCATTGAAAGAGTAGCTGGAGGGCAGGAGAAGTTCTGCACACCCTTTCGACACAGTGATTGTTTCCTTTGGTAGCAGTGCCAGCCTTCTCTGATATAAACACGTCAAAAGGTGGAAGAGGTCCGAGGGGAGAGGGCAGGGTGGCGAGGCCAGCTGACGGAACAGAGGACGGAGGTGAGTGAACCTGGAGGGGAGACAGACAGACAGGGTTAGACGCAGGGAAAACAAAGTACAAGGAACATTGATGGCACAGATTACTCCGGGGCTAGAGCGATGAGGTAGCACCAGGTTAGGAGCAATGACGATCAAGCGGAGATGGTGTGGGGAACCGGGGTTGATATGCAGGCAGGGATGGAGTTGATTGCTGGCAGGTGTGGCAGGCAGAGGAGGTGGCTGACGAGGTGCAGGTGTGGGTCGTTGGCTGGGCTCAGGAGCGGAGGGAGAGAGAAAGGGAGAGCACACGCAGGGGAGGAGACACAGGGAGGCAGGCAGAGTAGAGGAAAACACAACACCAGGGGAAAACAGAATCACAAGCAAAAAAAAAAAGGAGAAATAAACAGGACACTCACCGTCAGCCGGGCTGCCACCACAGCACAATAATGTTCATGACAAAGCCTGTCTCGCAGGTCTTCAAAGAGCAGAGGCTACTCGCAATAACTGATACATTTTGTGTGAAGTTCACGTAATGTGACCAATCCATCACCGTGACCAGACTGCCTGCATTTAGAGAGAGCACGAGAGAGAGAGAGACAGAGAGCGCATTGCTCACAGCTTCAGGGCTTCTCCGCGACTACTGAATTGCAAAATTGGAATCAGTATATTTAAATATAAATGTTGTCGGTCAGTGTCTAGTCAATGTATTAACACAAACGATTAACAGTCCCTGCACAGTAGTGAGAGAATATCATAACACCTGTCGCTCTGTGTCCTGCTGTCTCTGTTCCCCTCGCTGTGAGACACTACTGTTCTACTGTCTCCAGGATGCTTCATTCCCTCTAAAGTGCCTGTGAGCTGAGGAGATTGAACATTTTCAACAATAGTTCTTTTTAAACTAAATTCAAATTAATTAGGCTAATTTCATTTAAGATCTTAGGCTACTTCAAGCATGCCTGCATGTATGTAGACTCAGCTGGGATTAAATTAAAAGAGAATTGTCACCTCAGACATTTCCTCAATAAATTGGTGCACAAAATTCACCAGAATGCAGGAAATTAAGTGTTCAAAGCCCAAATTTTTCAGGGGGAGGACCCCCAGACCCACACAAGTTAATATTATCAGGGTTAATTATTATTGGAAAATGAGACAGATGTTAGAGTTACTGCGTGGAGGTCATTTACTGTTGCTTTAGAGACGTACTTTGGGTAGGCGGCAACGGGGGTGGGGGTTAAAACACATGAAAGATTTCTGTGCTGGACAAAGCCCCCAATGTTTCAAGAGCCTGGAAACGCCCCTGCTGCTTTCCTATGCTACATATAACATTAGTTTACTTGTCTTAATCTAAAGTTACAGGTCACCAATGGTCTTATAAGTGTTTAGTTCTCTCTAACAGCTAGAGTAATTATTTTATTAGTGTTGTTTTCACACCCAGTGCTAGTTTAGTTTTATAACCTACTAAAATATTTATGTTATTTTAGTTTAGTTTTAGTCTATAATCACTTTCTAACTACATGGTACATGGGCTACTTTTATTGTAAAGGTAGAAAAGGGAGGTGGTGTGGGCGAAACTGAGTTGGGAAGTATAGAGATTGGGGGGGTGGGGGGATTAACTAGAAAAAGAAAAAAAAACAGGAACAAAAACGGTGCCATCTAAAACAAGGTATACAGAAGGATGAGTAAGAAGCATTACTCATATTTACCACCAGAGGGAGTATAATTGTCCACGTAGTTACAACACAAGGTATAGTATATTCCAACCACTGCATGTGGTCAAATTCAAAGTATTCTCTCATAAAAAAAAGTTGAAAAGAAAAGTTCTCTGCTGTACCATAACTACACAAAACATTTTAAAATAACATTGTGGATCCAGTCCAGGATGATGAGGGTCATGCTGCCGATCATGACCACGAATCCCAACAGCAGGAAGGCCTCGACAGGAGAACAATTTCACATTCAGTGTTCACACTGAGTGACTTTAAGGAAGAGCTTAACAATTTGAGCAATATGCGTATTCACTTTCTTGCAATAGTTTAGATGAGAAGATTTTCTGTTATCTTTATGTTCAATATAAAGCCTAAGGAATGGCCAATAGCTGTTTCCACTCAGTCTTTATGCTTAGCTAAGCTAACGGGCTGCTGGCTACAGCTTCATGTTGAACAGACAAATATGAAAGTGGTGTTGAACTTTGATCTCTCAGCAATAAAGCAAATCAGTCTGTTATTTGAAATGTTGAACTATTGCCTCAAGGTGACTTCAGCTGTATAAAAAGCTTCTATAAATGGCTGTCTGGTGAAGTTTCTGCTAATTCTCTAACGTCCCTGTAGATGTAAGATCTCACTCCTTACCCCGATCTTCAGCACAGACATCATGGACTCCTTGACCGGTTTGATGTAGAAAGCCGAGGGCAGGATGAAGATGAGCAAGGCAGCAGAAGCGCCTGTGTGAGGGGAGACATTTGGAATTTTTGCCTCATTTTGTATTTGAGACGCTTTTTGTGGCATCATATGCATTAACATGCTCAAAGACACCCACTGATGACGGCAAAAATGTCCCTGATGCTGGGGACAAAGATAACCAGGGAGTTGGTGCTGGCCAGCAGGGCTACAGTGATGATGGTGTGGCGGATCCAGCTGAATTCCTTAGAGGTGCACAGGAGCTGGTTTACAGAGGTACGAATCTACAGAGAGGGAGAGGGACAAAAAGAGAGGTTATCCTTTATGATCCCCTAAAATCTTGTGCCAGCAATAATCTAAGATGTGCTCGGTCACTTTGATACTTCCTCTGACCATCCAGGTTAATTGGTGTCTCTAAAATTGTCCTTAGTCTGTCTATGTGTGGCCCTGCGATGGACTGGTGACCTGTCCAGGGTGTACCCTGCCTTTCGCCCAATGTAAGCCCCCCCCTTTATGCAGAATAAGTGGTTGACCATGGATGGATGGAGAACTTCTTCTCTACTGTTTCCTTTAAAAATGTAGTCAGTTGTATCTACAACAAACATGATTGCAAGTACTTGAACTGTAGCAATGACCATTTGTAAACTTTTGGGAAAGTCGGGAGTAGACTGCACACACACACACACACACACACACACACACACACACACACACACACAAAAACACCTGGCAGGAAGAAAAACGCATCCAGCAGAGGTTCAGTACATCATGACCTATATCAGACAAAATCACATTGAGTGGTTGTTCCTAAAAACATATGAAGTTATTTTGTTAACTCAGGTTTGGGAGTGGAGCTATGCCTCAATCACCCCTCCCATCAGCTGTCAAGGCTATGTATACCTGTTCTACTCAGCCTGTCTCAGATTGCTTGAAGCAAGACAGACAGTGCTTGACGCATAAGCGCATGATCACACAAACCGAAAACTATGTTAGAATTTAGCAATCAGCCGGGATCCAGAAATACAGATGAATTTGTCTAATTCAGATGACAATCTGTACAATGATCTGTTTGAAAACCGGCTATATTCCAGTCATGTCGTAGCAGTCAGTGTCTCAGGCAAGTTGCTTGCACTCAGTAGTAGGTCTTGCCTTAAACCTTCATTGCCGGCCCCCTGTCCTGCCTCCTGAAGTTTACAGTCCCCGCCGTCGACCTTCTGCTTGGCCTCCAGAGATCACTGCTCATGCTCTTGGTCGACCCCCCCACCTGCTTGGTCTGCTGGCCAAACCCCAGGCCACCCTCCTGACCTGCTCAGCCTATCAGGTCGACCACCTGGTCATCCACCCGAACTGTCCAGCTTCTCTGACCTGCCTTCTGGCCATCTGCCAGAGGCCTCTGGTTCCCCTATTCTGCCCTCTGGCCATCTGCCAGAGTCTCCCTGTCTGGCCCCGTTCCATTGTATTGCCCTTGACCACCTGCCCATTTTTCCCTGCCCTGCTCCTTTCTGATATGGACTCAGAGACACTCTATCTTGTTGTTTTTCCCCTCTGGACTCTGGCCCTCCTCCTTTCCTCCCACCACTCTGTGTTATCAGTTATTTAGTCTGCTTGGTCTGTTCTGTGTTTTGGATTTTTAGTCCTATTTGTTTCTTGTCTTGTGTTCAGTCTGCCTGTTTCCTGTTCTGTTTAAGTTAGTTTTGTCTGGTGTTAGTTCAAGCCCTGTGTCCTGTTTATCTGATTGCCCATCTGTGTCACCTGTGCTACACTCTGCCTGCCTGTGTGGTGTGTGTGTGCTCCCAGTCTTGATTGCCTCATTGCTCCGCTTGTTTGCTCTCCCGCCCTGCTTGTACCTGAGTATAAATGTTCGACAGCTCTGTTCAGTCTCTGTTGTGTTATCATCATATGTTGAGTGCTCCCTGCATTTTCAGTCCAAATCTGTTCCTGCACTATTCAGACATACATGGCAGGTATCAACTTCTCCATCAAACTATTCTCTGGCATCAGTTGCCCTTCTATTCTCCATTCTCACATTACCATATTAACCCAGGTTTACAGAAACTTGAACTCGCTCTTAATCTGACTCTTTGCAAGCAAATACACACACACACACACACACACACACACACACACACACAAACAGTACTGGTAAGAATAGCGTAGGATAGACCATGAATGCTGCTGCCCGTGATGGTATTGCCCCGATTGAAGACGGACATGCCAAAGGAAGCATTGCCCTGGTGCTGTGGGGAAATTAAAAGGTTCACAGTTAGGAAATTAGAAAAAAAAGACATGTGATCAAAGAAGATACTTTTGTTGGAGGATGGCAGAAGCTCTAACATATTCGGTCTCATACTTCTTCTTGCCCAGGTTGTGTTCAGGAAGGTAATTTGGACTCTTTGCCTCCATGTCAGAGTCATGGCTTAAAAAGAAAATAAACCACGGAAGAATTTAGAGTAGTGAATGTGATTTATGTAGACGTACATGATATACAGTTCTTTACAGGCAGTCTCACCCATTTAGTGTGACCTTCGGACAGTCCCGGTGGGGGTACTCATAGCTGTTGGTGCTGATGCTGTCTTCTTTCGGGGAGATGTTGAAACGGAGCATCTCAGTTTTGGCAGTGGGCTGTTTCATGCTGTACATTTCAGAACAGAAAAGAGGAGCACATATATTTTCTGTTATTTTTATGCATCCCTGCGCCCTGCCGTCCCGCACAGTGCTTTTAAATTCTGGCTGTGTATTTTCACGTTCCCTTTATGATCTACCCTAATGATCAATATACTGAGCAGGCGCATGCGACAGACGCTCCTTGTCAATCTTACACCATGTGACTTTTCTTTGGAGGGTGAGAAGGGGGGAGGGTGACACACCGGCAATGGTGTGAAAAATACTACACTGGCGTGTGCCCACCCAACATCACTTCAGTGCCACTGTAGACACTAAATGACAAAAAGCTGCTGTAAGCGCCGCTGACTTTGTGCACATTTCCCTCCGAAATACCTTTGAAAAGTGGAATGTAAACAGGGTGTGTCAGTGTCTTTTTTTCTTTGCAGATAACATTTTTAGACACATGTAAAGCAGAAGGCAAAGCTTCAGGTGGAAATTCTAAAACTGACATTCTAATATGACATTTTCCGTTTCACAACATTATTTCCATGGCCAGCTCCAATGGAAACAACAGCACCTGTTGTCCCTTTATGGGCATGGCTTTCCATTTTGCGCATTTTGAGGCTTGCACTCTCTCTACTGACAGATACAGGTTTACATTATTTCCTTTTCTCTCAGATTGTGTTTAATTCAATTTCAATGTGCTTTATTGGCATGTTTCAGTTCAACAATGTTGCCAAAGCAGTTTGCAACAAAATCAAAAAATTTACATTTGAATATAACATAACAGAAATCAGTGCAATTAAGACCATTTAATTTAAGAGTTATAAGTTACAAAAACAAAAATAACAAACACTGATAGAACATAAACTACAAAATACAGGAATTAACAAGATATAACCTGCCATGCAGTGAACATTAAGTGCAACAGTTCAGACATGAGTTCCAGCTATAGGCTCCGGCACTGCACGTCAAACTGCTTAATTATTTATTTCTAGAAGATCCAGACTTTTTTTTTTTGTGAAATTAACTTACCTATGCTCTCTCAAATAGAAAAAACTGAATTAAATAAAGAAATTACAAAATTCTTACAGCTATTAATTCTCTAACAAGCAACAAGGCCCCAGGGGAGGACGGCTTTTCAATTAATTTCTATAAAACGTTTATTGATCTACTTGCAGATAAACCTCTTGAAGTATATATTGACTCTAAGTATTTTAATCCACTGCCAAAAAACTTCAATATTTACATTATTGGCTAAACCAAATAAAAATGTGTTGGTGTTTTACTGTTGTGTTGTGGTGTTTTACTGTTTTGGTGTTTTGCTGTCATGTTGTGGTGTTTTACTGTCGCGTTTTACCGTTGTGTTGTGGTGTTTTACTGTCGCGTTTTACCGTCGCGTTTTACCGTTGTGTTGTGGTGTTTTACTGTCGTGTTGTGGTGTTTTACTGTTTTGGTGTTTTGCTGTCATGTTGTGGCGTTTGCTGTCGTGTTGTGGTGTTTTACCGTTGCGTTGTGGTATTTGCTGTCGTGTTGTGGTGTTTTACTGTCGTGTTTTACTGTCGCGTTTTACTGTTGTGTTGTGGTGTTTTACTGTCGTGTTGTGGTGTTTTACTGTCGTGTTGTGGTGTTTTACCATCATGTTGTGGCGTTTGCTGTCGTGTTGTGGTGTTTTACTGTTGTGTTGTGGTGTTTTACTGTTCCAAAATCCACTTGAATGTGGTAATTAGACCGATTCAGTTACTGAATGTGGACCATAAGATTCTTGGGAAAATAATTGCTGCACACCTTTCATTATCCCAAAACGTTGCCCAACCCGGCTTTAGATGCTGAGAAAGCCTTTGACCGTATTGAATGGAAACACTTGGTTTTATTTCAGCTCTTAGTATTTGCTTGCTTTTTCTGCAGGAAGCGAGTTACTGGCCAAGATTGTGAAAAGGATACTTTTGTTGTGGTGTTTTACTGTCGTGTTGTGGTGCTTTACTCTTGTGTTGTGGTGTTCTACTGTTTTGGTGTTTTGCTGTCATGCTGTGGCGTTTGCTGTTATGTTGTGGTGTTTTACTGTCGTGTTGTGGTGTTTTACTGTCGTGTTGTGGTGCTTTACTGTCGTGTTGTGGTGTTTTACTGTTATGTTGTGGTGTTTTACTGTCGTGTTGTGGTGTTTTACTGTCGTGTTGTGGTGCTTTACTGTCGTGTTTTGGTGTTTCACTGTTGTGTTGTGGTGCTTTACTGTCGTGTTGTGGTGTTTTACTGTTGTGTTGTGGTGTTTTACTGTTTTGGTGTTTTGCTGTCATGTTGTGGTGTTTTACTGTTGCGTTTTACCGTTGTGTTGTGGTGTTTTACGGTCGTGTTGTGGTGTTTTACTGTCGTGTTGTGGTGTTTTACTGTTTTGGTGTTTTGCTGTCATGTTGTGGCGTTTGCTGTCGGGTTGTGGTGTTTTACTGTTGTGTTGTGGTGTTTTACCGTTGCGTTGTGGTATTTGCTGTCGTGTTGTGGTGTTTTACTGTCGTGTTGTGGTGTTTTACTGTCGTGTTTTACTGTCGCGTTTTACTGTTGTGTTGTGGTGTTTTACTGTCGTGTTGTGGTGTTTTACTGTTGTGTTGTGGTGTTTTACTGTTTTGGTGTTTTGCTGTCATGTTGTGGCATTTGCTGTCGTGTTGTGGTGTTTTACTGTTGTGTTGTGGTGTTTTACTGTTTTGTTGTGGTGTTTTACTGTCGTGTTGTGGTGTTTTGCTGTTTTGGTGTTTTGCTGTCATGTTGTGGTGTTTGCTGTCGTGTTTTACCGTTGTGGTGTTTCACTGTCGTGTTGTGGTGTTTTACTGTCGTGTTGTGGTGTTTTACTGTTTTGGTGTTTTGCTTTCATGTTGTGGCATTTGCTGTCGTGTTGTGGTGTTTTACTGTTGTGTTGTGGTGTTTTACTGTCGTGTTGTGGTGTTTTACTGTTGTGGTGTTTTACTGTCATGTTGTGGTGTTTTACTGTTGTGTTTTACTGTCGCGTTTTACCGTTGTGTTGTGGTGTTTTACTGTCGTGTTGTGGTGTTTTACTGTTGTGTTGTGGTGTTTTACTGTCGTGTTGTGGTGTTTTACTGTTGTGGTGTTTTACTGTCATGTTGTGGTGTTTTACTGTTGTGTTTTACTGTCGCGTTTTACCGTTGTGTTGTGGTGTTTTACTGTCGTGTTGTGGTGTTTTACTGTTTTGGTGTTTTACTGTCATGTTGTGGCATTTGCTGTCGTGTTGTGGTGTTTTACTGTTGTGTTGTGGTGTTTTACTGTTTTGTTGTGGTGTTTTACTGTCGTGTTGTGGTGTTTTACTGTCGTGTTTTACTGTCGCGTTTTACCGTTGTGTTGTGGTGTTTTACTGTTTTGGTGTTTTGCTGTCATGTTGTGGCGTTTGCTGTCGTGTTGTGGTGTTTTACTGTCGTGTTGTGGTGTTTTACCATTGCGTTGTGGTATTGCTGTCGTATTGTGGTGTTTTACTGTCGTGTTGTGGTGTTTTACTGTTGTGTTTTACTGTTGCGTTTTACTGTTGTGTTGTGGTGTTTAACTGTTTTGGCGTTTTGCTGTCATGTTGTGGCATTTGCTGTCGTGTTGTAGTGTTTTACTGTTGTGTTGTGGTGTTTTACTGTCGCGTTTTACCGTCGCGTTTTACCGTTGTGTTGTGGTGTTTTACTGTCGTGTTGTGGTGTTTTACTGTTTTGGTGTTTTGCTGTCATGTTGTGGCGTTTGCTGTCGTGTTGTGGTGTTTCACTGTTGTGTTGTGGTGTTTTACTGTTTTGTTGTGGTGTTTTACTGTCGTGTTGTGGTGTTTTACTGTTTTGGTGTTTTGCTGTCATGTTGTGGTGTTTTACTGT